TTCTTTGCTAAATGTTCATCAAGTTTCGTGACTGATAATGCAGCGCATTCACATTGTTTTCGTTAATTTCATGATGACTAGACCAGATGTACATGATCCCACTGGATGACGTACAGCTGAAGGACAGAACAGCTTCCGCATGCACGTACAGCTGTTGCAATACAAATACCCATGAACGATTCAGAAAATAATGAATTTATTTTCGTTATCAGTGTCACATGACATATTCATCTGTATAGGTATGAGATTACTCTCAATTTTATGAGTTAATTGTTTTTTTTTTTGATACAATTTGCGAATTAATTTGAGCGTCGTTCCTCTCAATTTGTACGATCAATCCTTTTGTTGCTTTGCTAAATACTCATCGAGGTAGAGGAGGAAGATTACCTGAAATTAAAAACAAGTTGTGCTGCTCGAATTCAGACATGAATAAGTATTATATATAAGAATACGATGGATAACGGAAACCGATATTGAATGGTAGCGAAATATTTTGAGATTACAGGTGAAAGGTGTTTATTGGATCAATGTAAGCTTGATTAATTGCTAGATGCGATTGAACATAGTGAAGTAGAACCTTAGCAAGCCAATAGAGAGGAATCACATCCATGATCACATGTGCAAAGAAGTCGATCAGTGAGAAGAATGCAAATACAGTCCAATAGGTCAGCCACTGCGTATCGTCATCCTTCTCGGCTGTACGAATAGCCTAAGATATGACTGACTGTAAGGATTTTGGATTATAAAAAGCGTGAGAAGTGGATAATGAAATGATAAAATGGAAAGGGAACCTTTACAGATGCGTACGCTGGATATGCGAAACCAATCGCATTGCAAAGAAACTGAGCGCATTGTCCCACGATAAGATAGAGTGCAACCACACCTAATATACCATAAGCCAACTGAAAGAGAGAATTGCGGAACATGGATATAACTGGCAGCTCGATAACTTGAACGATCAATGCTATCGATCAAATCGAACTTTCTACGATGCCTATGCAGGAGCTCTAAATGATTTTCTGAGTCACCCACCAATCATTAAAGGGAATCGTGGATAATATGCACTATTGTGCAGGATGGCGCCACTCGTTTCGTGAATACAGAAATAATAGTTATGATAAAATTAATAATCATGTTCATTCGATTGTCACGGCATTTTTGCCATCACGAACAAGTGAAATCCATTGCGCTTCAACGGTGCAAATTAATGCAGATCAAAGGTGACTTGAATGGCGAAGGAAATTTATCTTGTATTTTATTATTCTTTGGTTTTTCTTGAGTGAAACAGACCAATCTGCATTATGAAATCATGGAATCATGTTCCGATGCTGACCTTTTCACGTTGCAAACCGGTGGACT